TTGTCAAAAGAAAGAGGTGAGACTGAGAGAGGTTGACAAGAGCTGGGAAGCCAGGTCCGTGCCATGAAGCAGATGAGGAGCAGGCTCATTTCAGTTCAGTTCCCTTCTCCTAAGGGAAGTTTGAATTGAAAATGAGGCAGGGGAGGCTGCTGGGCCCACAGGAGTGGTAGCACAGGATTAACTGTGTAATCCCAAAGGCTTCCCAGTCATTCCATTTTCACCAGGCTTTTTCAGACATTGTGCACAGCATCCAAGAGTAACACTAGGAACACAGCACTCTAGGTGGATCTGGGGCAAGGAGCAGAAAATGCCTTTACCTTTCTTTGGGCTAATACAGCCTGTAAATGATGCTGGGAAACCATATAGGGTCCCCTTTCCATCCATTCCCAGGAAGCAGAGACATCAGCTTGAAACTCTTGCAAAGTTCCGGGTTGGAAATGTTGCACCAACAGAGCAGCTGAGTCACTGAGCTCAAGTGGAATCCTCCTACCATTCCTTCCTTGCCTTCTCTACCCTGGGGCAACACAGTCTTCATTTACTTTCTTTTTCTTTCTTCCTTCCTTTTTTTTTTTTTCCTTTTTTTTTTCTCTGTCCTGTGAAACTAATGCTTCTGTGAGTGAGTGCCTGAGAGCACTTACACGAACCAGGGTGCTGCTCTGAAAGCTTCTTCTCTCCCCCACCCGTGGCTTTGCAATGCTTCCCAGACCTGATCTGCAGCATCCCCTGCTCATGCAGTCCTAAATCAGGAGCATCCTGCTTGCCTCACTGTCTTCTGGCTTGCAACATACCTGCCCAGCATTGCCTTCCATACTGTCCATCCCTCAGACCGGGGCCAGCTGGATGTCACCCACCTGCCGTTTGATCTCCCTGTGAGATACACTGCTGTGCTCCCCCAGAGCTGAGGGCACCCCACACAGAGACTTCACTCTGCTTCATTGCTGATCTTGCAGTACTGGAACAGAGATCTCCCTTTTCAGAAGACCAAGTGCCCTGACTGGATCTTCCCCCTACCCTGAAAATCTCTCCTCCAAGGCTATTACAGATCCCCACCACAATCCTGTCCAAACCCCCTAGACCTGCTCTGCAATGACCCCCTGTCCTTTCAGCCTCAGGTTCTCTCCTTGCTCAGGCTATGACAATCGGGCTTTGTGTCCCCACATGTCCCATGCTGCCGCTGTCCCACATCTCCCCAGCATGGTGTGCTACTCTAGGACTTGGGGTCAGTGGCTGAGAAGTAAGACAGGACTGTCCAAGGTTCCCCAGGCTGGAAAAGTTTATCATCTGCACTGCAAGGACTGAGGTACACGCTGGCCCCACAGCATCCCCTCCAACACCACCCCCCCCCATCCACCCCAGCTGGTGCCTGACTCCCTGGGGCTGCCCCCACTGAGCCGGGATGGATTTCTGGAGGAGATGCTCCCAGATTTTTCCACCCACTCCACATGTCTCCAACTTTCCTTCTTTCCCCCACATGGCCACCCCTTCAGCCCAGCTCCCCAGATGAGCACATCACACTTGGTGCCACGGCACCACCCCAGAGAGCCGACCTGCTCATCGGCCTAATGGATTTCCAAGGGGGTTGGGGAGAGGGGAGGAGAGTGACTGGCTGATGCTTCTCAGCCACTCAGCTCGACCCAGAGCTAACGAGGCATCTCAAAATTAAAAAGTGAACTGCAATCCCCAGCAGGCTTGTCCTCCTTTTGGCATTAGTTGGAGTTCTCTTTCTTAAAAAAAGAGGACTGGGGAGCCGTGAGTTGCATTTGTAGCCATTGAAGCACCACATCCCAGGGATGCTGGGGGTGCTGGGATGAGGAAAGGCAGCCTGGGGCTGCTGCACCACAGAAGCACTGGCTGTCTTAGAAAGGCTGAGAAGTACTAGGTCTGTCTCACCACAGCAAGGAGTAGAAATGGTACATGGGAACAGGCTCTCCCAGTGCCTCTACACCCAAAGGTCCCCAGGATGCAGAGGTGGTGTCTTGCCCACAGGGCTGAGTGGGTGGGGGACAGCACAGGGGTCATTGCTACCAGGCAATGTGAGGGAAGGCTGGCAAGAAAGGAATAACACTCCTGTAGGAGAAGAGATGGGGAAAGTGAGCAGGGAAACAGCAGAGAAGGGAGGGAGGGCAGCCTGGTTTATCGCCTTTGCAAGTTGCACTTCTCACATGGGAATCTGTCTGAGAAGGACCTTTCTCTGCCTGCACCTCCAGGATGCCCAGCACCAGCTGCTCTGATCTTCCTGTCCCCAGTGCCCTCATTCTTGATCTGTGGAGGGCTGAGGACTCTGGTTATAGATATGCTCTCTGGAGCAGCTCAGCCTGGTTCATGGGGAACTGAGCAGTAGCTCCTTTGCTCTAGTCCTGTCCACTCCTCCTGCAGGCAGCTGCCTGTCCAGACAGACCCCTTGGTCACTGCTGGACCAGCCCTGAGATTCTCTGGGACAAATGGCTCTAGGCAGGACCTGCCACCCCTCCAAGATGCTATTTCAGCCATTCACAGCTCACTGGAATTGGTCTTTCCGTAGCAAAAGCACAAGTGGGTGAAGAGCGACCACCTCACCCAGCAGAGATGCCTTACACCCATCTTGCCCAGCTGGAAGGTAGCCCAGGGGTGGCAGGACAGCCCAAGTGGAGTATGAGCCAGTATGTCAGTGTCCTGAAGAGCAGTCCAGTCCTCAGGGTGCTGGGACTGGGATTCAGTCCAGCCCCACATGTCCCTGAGAGATTCCAGGTCTGCACACACAGCTTCCAGGGTTTTGCCCTGTGTGTGTCTTTCCTAGCTGCACACAACTTATTGGAGGGAACTTGGTCCTCTCCACAGCAGGGCTGTGGATGAACTAGAAGCCACAAAGGGTTAGATGCATCCTGGCATGATCCTCCTTAATTTCTCCTAGGGATAGATTTGGCCCAAAATCTCAGAGAACTGGTTAGGTCTGGTATCAGCAATGGTGCAAAGCAACTTCCACCCCTTGCCTCTGGGTTATTACAAGCTAATGATCTTCAGCTTTCAGACTCACCTTGCAGCCCACCCTTCCCTATCTGTAAATGCTGCAGAGGAATTTTTTTCCAGATAAGCTTATCCTGGGGGTGAGGGGGCCAGACATGCTGAGAGTTAGGGCGTCCCTGCACACTGAGCACCAAAGGCACCAAAGGCATCATCAGTGGTTCTGCCAGCCGGGACTTCTCACTCCCAAGCAGAGGGAAGGGCAAGAAAGGGTGAAAGACAACAGTGAAATGAGTGCAGGAAAGGGGGTTACCATCATCTTTCTATTTCTCTGCTCGAGTGAGGGAAAATGCAGTTTGTAACTTGGGAATTCAGAGTAAAATCAAACGAAATGCAGTGGTTGCCTGAGAACATCCATTTCACAGCCAGGGAGGATGCAGTGCCTGCCAAGCCCAGCTCATGCACTGCACAGACCTGGCAGGGTCAGCAGCAGGGCCTGCACTGAGCCCCATGCCCAGACTGAAGGAGGGGGTGGTCTGTGTCCTGGGGAGGTGGCTGGATGCTTTGGGGACCTGGTGTCAGAGCACACAGACTCTGGACCTCCAGCTCCATGGCTCTCCACTGCACCCCACTGCTCTGGGCCTCCATGGAGCCAGATCACCTACTGTTTTACTGGACCATAATCATCTCAATGGCTCACAATATGGTTTTCTTGCAGTTTTTATGTCATATCTGCAGTTCTCTCTCTCATAAAATGTGACTGCACCAATTCCTGTGATGGGGGCTGGTCAGCTAACAGGGACATTTCATGTTTGCCAGACAGAGCCTTTAATGCAAATCCTGTGTTCAAAGGAGAGAAGGGAGAGGGGGAACCTCTGCTTCCTTGCAGATTACTGCAAGCCTCCCAGAAGTGCTCCCCACTGCACTGAAGTGACCTCCCAGATGTCCCCTGTGCACCATGGAGAGATGATGGGAGTAGGTTTGGGTGAGGTGCAGGGAAACCAGAGGTTTCAGGGAGAGACTGGTTCATTTGAGGGGTCACGGGAAACTGTAATAAAATGAGGGGACTTCAAAAGCTGATGAAATCACTGGGGATATTCACCCACCCCCAGCTTTGAGGAGCTCTGGAGCAGGCCCTTTGGGAGAAAACTCCTCCCTTGTATCACCATGGACTTAGCCCTGATATCTTTCCCTTGGGAGAGCAAGCATTAATCTACTCCCCATCAATCATCTGCAGAAGGACATCTCAAAGTGGTTCCAGTCCTCCTGCAGGCTGAAGATCCCCCAAACCCACACATCTCCTCATAAGGAGGAAATACCATTGCCCATAAAAGACTGAAAACAGACAAGCTTGGCAAGCTGAAGCCAGAAGTCCTCCAAATCCTCTTCCCTATGTGGTCAGCTGTGGTTCTCCACTGCCTGCTTCTCTCCAACAAATGGACCTCAAGAGTACCCTGGTGTATGTAATAACCAAAGATTATTGCATGTTTCATCTTCACCAGGTTGACAAAGATAAGGCTCTTTCCATTCTTCTTTTTGCTCACAGGACACAACAGAGGAATTGCAGATCCTCATCTCTCCTACTGAATAAGCAGCAAGGCCACCAGCTCCCCAGGGAATGTTTTATCCCATATTGTTGCTGAGGGAGCAGCCTGGCAGACTGACTGACAACCCTGCCAGTGGACACCCCAGCCCTCTGCAGGGAAAAGGGCTAAAAAAGTCTGGCATTAGAAACAGAAATGGAGCAGGGTGACTTGTTGTCTGCAGGAGAGGAAAGTTTGGAGTAGAGGAAAAGCAGAGTGTCTCTGTCCCAGCAAAAAGTCCCCAGAAGCATGGGACCATGGATAACCCCCCAGCTGTCTGCAGAAACTGGTTATGGCAGGAGGAGAGAAACTGGTGAGAGGAGGAAGGAAACTAGCAGGCAAGAAAGAAACATGAGGGAGAAGGCCATGAGTAGATGAGGGCTAGCAGAGTGTGCAGATGGGAATGTGTTGCAAGCAGTGGAGCCAGGAGCACAGGGACAGCACAGCCCTGCTCCCCAGGAGCTACCATCACCGTACCTCCAAAGTCAGGCCTGAGGCGGACGTCATAGCCCTTCAGTAGTTTGTCCACAATCTCTTTCACCACAGAAATATTCCCAGTGGATGGGCTGAAAGACAAAAGAAGAGAGTCTTCGTCATCCCATGTGCCTCTGGCCCCACAGAACGGGGTCCCAGCTGGGCAGCTCTGCTGGAGCCCCACGGCTCCCCAGAGCCTGTGTGTGCTCCAGACACTCCAGCCGCAGGCAGAGCTGCCCCATTTCCTTCCTCACATGTATTTTCTGTCCCTGGCACAGCTCTTGGCCCCCAGTCCCATGGGATCCAGGGATCCTAAGCTGTCCTTGGGGGTGGCACAGGAGTGTCAGCAAGTATCTTCGCTCCTGTTGTGCAGCTCACCCTGACTCCTGGGTATTCCAAACTCCACCCTCCCAAGCTCCCTCCCGGTGTGTGCCTGCATCCCAGCTGTTCCTCTGGGCTGGTACCCCCTCAATTCAAGTACAACTCACCACCCCAGCCACTGCCCCGCACACTCAGGGCGCTTCACTGCACCCTGCCCATAGGTGGGGGCACACACAAAGAGAGGCAGAAATTATACCTTCTGTTCCACCAAGGTGTGCATGGGGTGGCTGTGGCCTCTCTTGTAGGGCTCGTTCCCCTTCCCCTGCCATGTTGAGCACTTGTTCTCAATCTCATACTGCACAGCATGGACCTGTCACGGACTGAGGTCTCCATTACACAAGGTCCTCCCCAGCAGGCACCCTGCACTGCCACACACCCCAGGGCAACCTCTGCTTCTCAGTGCACCCAGGTATTTCTTCATATTATTGAAGCAAAGGCAAAAAAACAACACTCTGTTTGTCTTATGGCCTCAACATTCATCTGATCTTTTGCATGTAAAAATTCATTTTCTGTCACTCAGCATCACCATGACTTCTTAGCAACACAAATCAAGAGGCAGAGACAAGGAAGAAGAGTCCATCTTTTGCTCTCCGTACCAGGGCAGTGACCCTTTCCCTCCCAGCCCTCTGAATTGCACACAGGGAGGGCAACCTCCCAAACACTGACCCAGCTCCTCCAAACATTTCAGCAAGAAGGGAGCTCCCTCTAATAACAGCCCAAGAGCCACAGCAAAACTGAAGGTGGGAAACCAGAAAGCAGAGGATGCTAAAAATATTGAACCTATTCAGTGTTGCGGGGTATATAGGTTCTCTGCCTGAAAACCCAGCCTCTGTGCCACCCTCATCCCCTGCTTTGCATGAGAATAGGGACTCTGCCTGTGACAACTGCTGCTCTTTGCAGTCACCCACCACAACAGCACATCGTCCTGTCAACACTGCCTCCCACATCCACCCAAGTGAAGCTGGAAAGCTGCACCATAGCACTACCTCTGCAGCCAGCCCCATGTCTTATTGGACACTGGGGTTTGCACTGACATGGCCCAGTGCCTGCACAGACAGACTTGCATGCTCCCCTGGCTGTACAGAGGATGTATAGACTCCCTGCTTGAGCACACAGACATGCAGACAACATGAAAGCACTGGAGCTCTAGGGTACAGCAGTGAAACATGCACAGACATGTGTGTGCATGGGTGTGACTACATCCAAATCTGCATGGAGATGGCTGTGGGTGCAGATCTTGCTCCATTGGGTTATGAAAGAAACTGGACTATAGACACAATTTATGCAGGGGCACAGAAACAGGCATTTGTGGGTGCCTGAGACTGAGTTCCCAGGTGCCCAGACTTGCTGTACAGGTGTGGGTGGGGGCATGTGGGACCACTGGGGGGTCTGGGCATGCGTTAAGACTCTGGATGCACAGGCTGAGTGTGTGCAGGGATTTCTCAACCAAAGAGGGATGTGCAAATGTGAGACAGCACACTTCCCAGGCCTGGCTTTGGTGCATGGACAAATCATTCAACACTTGCACTGGGAGTGGAAGTGTCTGAGCTGTGTTCCTCAGCATGCACCTCAGGGGAGCACAGCTCTTCATTGCGTTCCTTTAATCACTGTAAAAAGGCCAGAGAGGTGCACGCAGGTGGACATTTTCCTAACACTGTGTCTAGGCCTGGAAGGTCCACTTGCACCTGTGGATTTCTCTGCAGGTATCTGAGGTATTGCAACATGCACATGCATGTATGCTCACTGTAGATTGATAGTCTGCACCAGCATTTGTTCATCTCTAGACAGTCATTCCCAGGCACATAGTTTTCCATATTGATAGCTTTCCATGTTCATGATATAGACACTGTATTTCTCAAAGGATTTAGACACTTCTGCTTAGCTTCACACAGGACTTGAGCTCAGGAAGCAGTGTTATTTCCTTAATATAGGCAAGGAAATTGAGGCAGCGACGGTAACCAGTGTGCCAAGGGCACTGCAGAAAGGGGTAGAGTGGGAAGTGGGATATGGGGACTCTTTCCTCCCAATCAGCTACAAGTCGTCCTAGTGAGAGCATAAACTGGCATCAAGATTGAGGCCAAAGCCTCTTGCCTCTTGAAGCTCCTTTTGATCCAAAAAGCCACATCCCTTCTGCTGAACAGGCAAGTTGTGCGTTTGCCCAGCTGTGGGTGAGCAGCTGCATGTAAGTGCTATTCCTGGCAAATGTGGGTCTGTATCCGCTTAGGGAGCACGTACATCCCGCCCGTGAACTGAATTTTTGAATTCTGTGTCCCTGATGCTGTGTGGGGGTGCCTGTGCTCTGCCTACATTTGCAGCCAAACATCCACATATATGTACACCATGCTGCTGGCTGGGGGTTGTAGGAGTAGTTGAAGGCATGTGCACATGGGAGAGCGTTGTGTCTCCAAGGTGTGCACAGATATACGTGCAGACTGCAGGCAAATATCAGTCCTACACATGAGCAGATATAAACACACAGGCAAGGGCACATCTGAGCAGAGGCTTTTGCTATGGATACTGCTCTTTACACATTTGCCTGGGCACTGTCTCTAAGCCAGTTTGTGTCTATGTCCAGAGCCACGGGAGCCGTGCGTGAGCGGTGTGGGTAAGGTGGGCACGAGTCTGCGCATGTGCGTGTTTATAACTATGGGAACATCAATCTTGGCACACACGGATCTGCAAGGCTGTGCACAGACCTGCATGTGTGCATCAGGAACCCACTGCTCGGCGTGCACGGATGAGCAAGGAAATGCCACAGCTCCCTCCCCAGCAGACTTCACGCACACCAGCAGCACAGAGGTGGAAACCCACCTGCCCGCCGGTGTGAGAAGGGAAGGGGGGGAGGAGCAGGCAGTGCCACTCCTGTGTGTGAAGGCAGTGGGCAAGCACCTGTGTCAGAGCAAACAGGTGTGCTCTGTGCGCCCTGCCCAGGCCGGCTGGGTGCCTGCCCCTCCGCTTGCTCGGATCACTCAGAGTGCTCAAGGCATTACCAGGAGCTGCTGCAGCCCGAGCGGGCGGCGGGGCAGTGCCAACCTTCACACGGCTGCACACGGAGCAGGGGAAGCGTGTTGTGCTCCGTCGGGTGCTGCGCACACGTGTGTGCACCCCAAGGGGTACGGTCGAGCGCGCACACGCAGGGATGGAGCTGCACGGGTGGCACCCACGGGTGATCATGTTGCGTGCCATAAATCTCCATGGAAGCGCAGACACGGGCACTGCCTCCCGCACAGCGCAGAGCCAGGGCCGTGTCCAGGCACACTCGGATGTGCGTGTGCCGTGTGCGTGTGCAGACACGGGCACGGCCGAGGCGGCCCCGAGCCGGGGTCTGTCTGCACACACAGCTCGGTGCCACGCACCCCGCGGCTCCCACCGCCCCCATGTTCCCCCGGACAAAGCCTCC